CATCCAGCCCATAATACTCTGCCAACATGGACGTCCTACTACCCTCGCTCCAAGCAGCACAGCAGGCACCAAGTCCAAGCTCGTGACCTTCTGGCTGCAGTCTGTCCTCCTCTCACACGCACCGTGAGGCTTCAGATGAGGAAGCCCCAAGGCAGTGTGGACCGCCAGGGGTTTTTCAGTGAGAACGGGACTCAGAATGAATCCTAAAAAGGCAGCGCAGGACACACAGTACGACAGCCGGCCTTGCAGGGGACATCGGCCTCCATCTTCACCTGATTCCTCCCTCATGTGGGAGCTGAGATTCCACCCCTCACCCCGGCCAACGAGGGAGCTAAGACCTGGGAGAGAGGCACTGGAGCCACCTGACTGCATATTCTGGACCCCCCCCCCGCACCTCCTTCCATGTCGGGGATGCCTAAGGAGAGCGGATAAGAAGTCCTGGGGGCTGGACAGGCCGAGACGGCGGAGCAGGAGCCGTGAGCAGTTGGAGTGGAGACATGGGGAGGACAGCTGCTCCGTGAGGTGGGGGATGAGGAAGGCACTAGAGCTCAGTGTTAGCGGGTGTTATTGCTGGTACCTGGATTTATCTCCTCCCCAGCTCCTGCCTTCACTCTCTGCTTCCTGTCTGTCATGCTACGAACAACTTTTCCTCCACCTTGCCCCTCTGCCCTGCCATCCTGCCTTGGAGCCAGCTGACTATGGTCTGAAACATGAGCAGAAATAAACCTCTCCTCCCCTAAGTTTAGGGTGATGGGTATTTTGTCCTCAGTGAGGAGAAAGGGACTAAGACATAAATAGAGATTCAGCTTTTTTAAAACAGGAGGCTAGGAAAACCTTTACCTTGTGCTGATGCTGGGGACTGTGACCCAGCAACACAGCAGAGGAGGGAGGTAGCTACAGAGGGCAAGAGGGAGAGGCCTAGTGGATAAAAAGTGGCATGAAAACAGATTCAAAGCAGAACAAAGCAAAGCAAACAGCAGTTTGTTCTCCACTCATTCAGAAGATGCACACTGGGCTGGTGCCCAAGAAGAATCAACACACAAGGCCGGCGGGGTGGTAGGAGTCCTCCTGTGACTTCTCCCTCCCTTGCAGCTCAGGGAAGTACCAGCTCCTGCATCTTCCTTTCCCCTTAAAGTGAAAGTACTGCCGTGCTGCCCCCACTAATGAGAGCCTATGGCCAAGTTCGCCCAGCAGAATGCCGCTGTAGCAGGCCCTTGGGAAGAAATATACCAACAGACTCGGGTCAGAAGCATGAGAGAGAGTAGAACTCTCTATCCCTTAGGGGCTGATGGTTCCAGCTGCTGGAAGGAGAGGGTCTGGAGTCTGAGCAGACATGTGTAACTGTATTCAGAGTTGAGCGGTGGAATGATGTGGTCCTGAGTAGTGGACGGCCCAGGACATGCCCTGGCCCCTCTACCTGGCAGCTGGGTCTTCCGCCTTCACATAAAAGTGGAGCCAAGGGCCGGGGATTTAGCTCAGTGGTGCCGCCGCCTGCCTCGCAAACACAAGGGCCCGGGTTTGATCCCTAGTAAAAAAAAAAAAAGAAAAAAAAAAGTGGAGGCGATATCCAGCCCAACAGGAGTGCAAATGTCAACACAGAAATACAAGAAACATGCAAAAATAAGGCAACGTGATTCCTCCAGAAATTAATAGTTCAGAATGATGGATTCCATTGACATCAAAGTAGATAAAGTACCAAAAAATTCAGAGAATAATTATAAAAAGTTATCGATGAGGGCCAGGGATTTAGCTCAGTGGTTCCACTGCCTGCTTCACAAGCACAAGGTCCCAAGTTCGATCCCCAGTACCAAAAAAGTAAAACAAAATTTTAAAATTATCAATGAACTCGAGGATACAAATAAATATTTGAATGAAATAAAAAAGACAAGGCAACATTTTGATACTACATTTTGGTAAAGAGAGAAATTCTGGGAAAAATAGAAATCTTGGGAATGAAAAACTTAATGTCACAAAATTCAGTAGAAAACCCCACCAGCAGAGTTGATCAAGGAGAGGAGAGAAACTGAGGACTTAAAGATAGTTGGTTGATAAAATATTATATGGTCAACAACAAAAAAGTATAAAGAAAACACATGAGACTTCTGAAACATGATTAAAAAGCAAAATTTAAGAATCTGAAATATAAGAGCATAAAATACAAAGTAAAAGAAAAGAAAATGGATTCAGTGAGATGATAGCAGAAAATTTTCCAATTCTTGAGAAAAATGTGGACAGCCAGGGTACATGAGACCTTTGGAACCCCAAACAAACTTGACCATCGAAGAATCTTTTTACATCTTACCATACTTAAAATGGCATGACTAGTGAGCAAAGAGAATATTCAACTTTGTAAGATAAAAATGCCAAATCATGTGTAAAGGTAAATCTCCCTAAATAACGGCAGATTTTTCAGCAGAAGCTGTAAGGGTCAGGAAAGCATGGAATAATGTGCTTCAGGCTGTGAAAGAAAATAACCTACAATTTAGAATAATCTATCCAGTAAAGCTGTACTTTGGAATTGAAGGAGAAATAAAGACTTACCAAGATAAGCAGAAACTAAAGGAGTTCATGTCCACTAAACCAGCACTGCAAAAAATATTTAAAAGAGCACTACGTAAAAAGAGGAAGCAGAGACTAACAAGTGAGTGTTGTGAAATAATCAAACATCACAAAAATAATAAAATGGCATGTCTTCAGTAATAACCCTGAATATAAATTATTTTAATTCTACAGCTGAAAAACACAGACTGGCAGATTGGATTAAAAAAAAACAAACCAAATCCAGCTATATACTTCCTGCAAGAAATATACTTCAAGGGGAGAAGAGTGGCACATGCATTCTGGGAGGCTGTGGCAGGAGGATCAAAAGTTCAGTCTCAGCCTGAGCAACTTAATGACTTCATGTGAAGTAGTCGCAAAATAAAAAAAAAAATTAAGGTCTTTGAATGACCTTATATTAAAGAAGAACCTGATAAGACCCAAAACATACTGAGTGAAAAGAGCCAGGGTAGAAGTATCACAATGCCTAACTTCAAAATACACTACAAAGCCGTAATAACAAAACAGTATGGTACTGGCACCAAAATAGACACATAGACCAAAGGCACAGAAACAAAGCCATGCAGCTATATTCTTCACACTGAGCTACAACCTCTGCCCATTTTTGTTTAATTTTGTAATATAGAGACAGGATTTCTCAAAGTCACTGAGTTGCCCAGGTTAGGCTCAAACTTGCAGTCCTCCTGCTTCAGCCTCCTGGAGTGCTGGGATTACAGGTGGCCTCCATAACACCAGTCCCATTTGATTCTTGACAAAGGGACTGAAGACATACGTTGAAGTAAAGGCCATCTCTTTCACAGTGAAAATTAGATATCCATACACCCAAGAGGGACACTAGATCCCATCTCTCACCTTAAGCAGCAATGAATTCAAATGTGCCAAAGATCTTGGGGTATAAGACATGAAACTTGGAAACTGCCAGAAGAAAGCATGAGGAAAAACAGTTGAAGTCATAGACTCAAGCAAAGACTTCCTCAACTGAATCCCAAAGGCCCAGGAAATGACAAGAGTCAACAAAGGGAATTGTTTCAAAACCAAAAGGCCTCCACAGAGCAAAGGAAAAGGCCATCAGAGTGCAGTGAGCCTAGAGAATAGGAGAAAGTCTGTCCTGGCCCTTCTGTGACAGAGTAAAGAAAGTCAAGGAGCTTATCACCAGATAAAATGAAATAACCCAAGGAGAAAATGGGCCCAGGAACTGAGCAGACCCTTCTCAAAAGATGTACAAATAACAGCTGGGCATGGTGGCGCACACCTGTCATCCCAGCACTCGGGAGGCTGAGGCAGGAGGATGTCTGTGAGTTCAGTTCCAGAGCAGTCTGAACAACACAGTGAGAGCCTGTCTCAAAAAAAAAAAAAGATGTACAAATACCAATAGGCAAATGAAGAGGTCACCGAGGGATGCAAATCAACACTGCAGGGAAACTTGATCTCACCCCAATCAGAAAGACGATCATCAGCAATAAAAACAAGACAAATGCTCACAGGGATGGAGAGGGAAAGACCACTCCCACACTTTCAGGAAGGCCCACTAGGGCAGCCAGTGCGGAAGTCAGTACGGAGGCTGATCCAGAAACAAAAACCAGAGCCACTGTTCGATCTGGGTGCGCCAGTCTTCACTAGAGAATTCTCTAAGGAATCAAAGTCAGCACAGGGTAGCGTGCTGCGACACAATTCACAGTAGCTCGGTGTTCGTGTCCACTACCCGAGGAAGTGGGGTAATAGGCACAGTGGGATATTAGCCATAAACAAGAATAAAATCACGTTACTTTCGGGACAACGGATTGAACCGAAGACCATCGTGTTAGGTGGAATAAGCCAGACTCCCAAAGTTAATTACTGCACGTTTTCTCTCATATGAGGAATCTAGGGAAAATTTTTTTCTTTTCTTTATTTTTTAAGAGAGATGCCATAAAAGCAGAAGGGCGACTATTTGAGAAAAGGAAGGGAATAAACGGGGTGGGAAGGCAAAGCAGGTGACGGGAATGACGGCAGCCCGCTACACACACGTACAAATGCATCGCAATGAAGCCCAGGCTTCCGCGCAGAGAAGTCTCAGGGCCGCTGGGGCTGCGGAGCTCCTCAAGGACAAAGTCTGTCCTTCTCCTCTCCAGGGGCTCCCAGCGAGCAGTAGCTGCCCTGTGGGCTTTCACCCCCACTGCCCCCCGCCTCGGCCTTGCATCCAAAGATGAGAGTGGCGCGCTGCCTTCTGCCTGGTGCGCTCAGAGGTGAGGAGGAAAGAAGGAGGCCAGGACCTGTTTAGGCAGCTGTTGCTCTCCCGGAAATGCAGGGGTAGGAAGTTCCCCTTGTGGTCACCGGCTGTCTGACCTCCCTTTCGGGGCTTCCGGTCTCTGACCGCACCCTCTCAGGGCTCTGACCTCAAGTCCCCGGAGCTGCGGGTGGACCTTCCTGTGACAGCACAGCTCCAAGATCCTCACCTCAAAGATGCGCTTCCCCTGCACAGCCCTCTGTCTCTGCTCCACTCAGGAGCTGTCAGTCTCCAGGATGCTGCTGCTGCTGCTGCTGCCGCCGCCCCTGCGGTGGGCAGGTGAGTGGGCTCGGGCGAGGGGCCTTGGGGGCTGCACAGAGCTGACCCTCCTTTCCCGCAGGGTCTCTGGCTCATTCTCCGGGATACCAGCTGACAGCGCCCAAGTCCGTGCTGGTGCAGGAGGGACACAGCGTCTTCATACCCTGCAGAGTCTACTACCCCTGGAGGTTCTGGAGCAACTTTCCCCCGGCCTGGGGCTCCTGGTTCAAGAAGGAGGCTCGTTATGACCGGGATCCTCCAGGGGCCACAAATCACCCATCCCGTGAAGCGCTGAAAGAGACCGAGGGCCGGTTCCACCTCCTCGGAGACCCCAGGTCCTACAACTGCTCCCTGCGCATCAAAGACGCAAGGAAAGAGGACACAGGAGTCTACTTCTTCAGGGTGGAGAGAGGGTATGATGTGAAATACAACTACAGATGGGACCACCTCTGTGTGTTTGTGACGGGTGAGGAGTGAGCTTAAGATGGGCCAAGGGGCGGAGCAGGGCGGGACGGGTCCCCTGCTCCTCACGGGGGTGCGGAAGGACTGGGGCAGAGGGGCCGGCCGGGGCGATGACAGCGGGACAGCGGTGCCCTCGGGGCCACACTTGGGGTCCCCCAGGGCTGCGGTGTCTCGATCCTCCTCTGCTCTGACAGAGACCCCTGACGTCCACATCGCGGGGACCCTGGAGTCTGGCCTCCCTGGGAACATAACCTGTGCAGTGCCGTGGCCTTGTGAGCAGGGGACGCCGCCCGCCTTCTCCTGGACTGGGGCGAACCTCACGTCTACCCTGGGCCCCGAGACTCCCCGCTCTTCCGTGCTCACCATCACCCCAGAGCCTCGTCACCACGGCAGCAACCTCACCTGCAGAGTGACCTTCCCTGGGGTCAGTGTGGCCGTGGAGAGGACCGTGCAGCTCATAGTGGCCTGTGAGTGCCAGCCAGCAGGCCTGGGCCCAGGAGGAGAGGGGTGAGAGCAGACAGGCCCTGGGACACTGAGTTCTGGTGTGGAAGCACTTCCCCTGGGGAGGAAGGAAAGACGGCCCTGGACTCCACTGTCCTCTGGGTCCTAAAGTGTCTGTGGGAAAATCACCAGCACCCACCTTCCTGCCACTAAGGAGGGAACAATCCTGTCTGTCTGTCCGTCCAGATGCTCCACGGAACCTGACCATCCAGGTGTTCCAGAGAAATAGCACAGGTAGGGCACAGCCTGTCCTTCCGGGGGTGTGGAGAGAAGAGCCTGGGCGGGAGAGGGAGCAGGCCGGGCGCAAGCAGTACGGGTGGGGCCCCTGTACCCCTCCTCTCCCTGCACGCCCACGCTCGGGCACTGGGCATCTCTTAGCCCTTCCCTTCCCTCAAGCGAGATGCAGCTGTCACCAGTCCTCCTCCTCTGTGGGACCTAACCCCATCGGCCCTTTGATTATTTTAGTGATTTTTTTAAAATGACATAAAATTAGTCTTTAGTCTGCTTGAGCTTCTGTAACAAAACACCGTAGTCTGGTAACTTCAGCCACAGACATTCATTTCTCAAGTTCTAGGCTGGGAGTCCCAGTTCAGGGTGCTGGCCCATTGGCTTCCTGGCACGTAGATGACCGTCTTGTCCCCTCTGTCCCTACCAGCCGAGTTCTCTCTGGTGTCTCTTGTCACAAAGGCACTGATCCCATCCTGCAAGCTTCACCCCCATGAACTTGTCCAACCTAAACTCCAAATCCTGTCACAGGGGGAGCTTGGCACTTAACACATGAATTCAAGAGAAATGAACTTCGGCGTCTAGCAGAGTTAAGAAGCGTGTACTCGGGCCCTAATGTTTTCCCTTCCTGGCTCTCCTTCCAGATCACCCGTGCATTCACACCCCATTCTGTACCCGCTGCTCTTTGTCTTCGTGATTTTCGTTTATTTACTCATTTTGTGGTGCTGAGAGATTAAACTAAGATTCTCCTCTACCACTGGGCTACATCGCCAGACACTTTCATGTTTTAAGTAAATTTTTCATTTTGCGGTAATTTTAGATGAATGGAAAAGTTGCAAAGATGACACATAAAGTTTCCATAAATCCCTCTTTCAGTTTCCTTCACTGTCAAAATCTTACGCTACCATGGTATGTTTGTCACCATTGAGAAAGTGGCTGTAGTATGGGCTTAGGAATTAAACTCTTTTTTTCCTCAAACTTAGTGTATCTGGAGATCTTTCTGCATTTCTGTATTGGAAGCCTTCTCACAAATGAATGACCTGGTGGTTTTCCAATCATAAATATATATTGCCGTAAAGTGTAAACTGGCTTTCCACTGGTAGAATACGGGTGTGTCTTGTCTGTTTTTGAAACAAACACTCCTGGAATGAATAACTTACATGAACACTCTATAATTTTCTACAGGAGGGAATTCGGGATCACAGGCTATTGTAATTTGTGTGGAATCCTACTCTTTACGGATGTCGCATAATTGCATGGAGTGGAGTTTGTCTTATTGTACTTCTCTGAACAGGGTACTCATTCCTTCGGGTATTATAAGTGGATTCACTGTCATTTTAATTCGCGTCATCATTTTGTGAACAGGCTGGGTATCGTCACCATGTTTAAGGCCCATTTGTATTTGTGAACATTTTTGAAATGATTTGAAGAGTTCTTGCATTCTCAGGAAATGAGCCATTGTTTATTGGAAAGGATTTATTTCCAGCCTATGGATAGCGTGTGGATTAGCGTGTGGTGGTTCAGTTAGGCAACAACACGTGTCACCCTTTTTCAGCTGCATTCGGGGTGCCCTGGCACTGGCTCTCCCTGCTGGCCACGAGCCTGCAGCCTGCGTCTCCCCTCGGCAGCTCCTACCTGTTCTTCTTGCTTTCCCAAGCCCCCGTCCTCCTCCAGGAAGCCGTTCTGTCCTGAGAGTCGCACTGGCTCCACTCTGCTTACCCGCACCACAAAACGGGTGATAATGTTCTGTGGGCACCTGCCGCTGGGTGTCTCGCTCACGGCACCACGAGCTAAGCAGGCTCCGTGATCTGCTGCTGAGAGGCCAAAGGCAAACCTGGGATCCGAGCTGGGGCAGACGGCCAGGCAGTTCGGGTGACCCCATGCGGGTCCTCAGAGAGACCGAGCTGCTCCTCACCCTGTCCGCTGGGGCAGAACGCACACAGCCTGGGCCTGGGATGCAGGGGAAGGGAAAAGATAGACCCGCATGACACAGGGGCCTGAGAGGCAGAGAGTCCCATGCAGGCCTGGGCTCAGGCTTCTCTCTGTCTCTCCAGGACTTACAGCCCTGGCTGAGGGTTCATTATTCCACGTGCAAGAGGGCCAGGCCCTGCGCTTGGTGTGTGTCGCAGACAGCAACCCCCCTGCCGAGCTGAGCTGGACCTGGGGCAGCCTGGCCTTGCAGCCGTCACTGCGCCCAGGCAGTGGGGTTCTGGAGCTGCCTCGGGTGGAACTGGAGGATGATGGGAAATACACCTGCAGGGCTCAGCACCGGCTGGGCTCTCTGACAGCCTCTGTGAGCCTCTTTGTGAAGGGTGAGTGGGAAGCACTTGGGGCAGGGCACCCGGGTCCCAGCCCGGGGAGAGCCCCTCTGATCCCGCGCTTTTTCCCCCGCAGGCCCACTACAGCTGCTGGGCCCCTGGTGCTCCTGGGAGGCTGAGGGTCTGGGCTGCAGCTGCTCCTCCCGGGCCCGGCCTGCTCCGTCCCTGCACTGGCGGCTCGGGGAGGAGCTGCTGGAGGGGAACAGCAGCAACGCCTCCTTCACGGTCACCTCCAGCCGGGCTGGGCCCTGGGCCAACAGCTCCCTGAGCCTCCACGGGGGGCTGAGCTCCGGCCTCAGGCTCAGCTGCGAGGCCGGTAATGCCCACGAGACCCAGAGCACCACTGTCCTGCTGCTGCCAGGTCAGGAAGTTATGAAGGGCAAGGCCTGGGCACAGAGGAGACTGGTCTGGGTCCTGGAAGACTTCCGGAGAGAAATGAGCCTGACTCATGGCAAAGCTTTGAGGGTTCGGGGTCCTCTGCCCTTTGATTGGGAATGGGGCTGGGGCACGGAGGCTGCAGTCACACAGAGACAGGGAGGAAGGACCACGTCCTGGAAGGAACTGGCCATTCCTGTGGGTCATGGGCGCGGGTGGCTGGACTCTCGGTTGTCCACTTAGAGAGGCTGAGGTCACCCAGGCCTCTCGTCTGCAGAGCAACCAGGACCCAGGACAGGCGCGGTTCGGGGAGCCCTTGGGGGAGCCGGTGTTGTGGTCCTGCTCGCTGTCTGTCTCTGTCTCGTCTTCCTCACGTGAGTGGTGGCCCTGGTTTGGGTGAAGCTTTCGTGAGGAAGTGGTGGCGTGCGGTGGTGCACAGTGCAAAATGTTCTGCGAGACTCCAAGCCCAGAGCTGAGGTGATGCAGACCGGGGTGGGTGCGGCCATTGCAACTTGCAGCCAGCGTTTAGCCTCCTGCCACCTTGCCAGGGGCAGGGCTCGTTCCTGCTTCCTGTTGCCCAAAGGAGGCTGCGTCTGCTCTTGTCGTGGTCTCTGATCCCAGACCGTAGCCCTCAGCGGCTGGGGCCCCAGTCCTGCTGGGCTCCCGACAACGAGCCGGCCAGGCTGAAAGACGCTGCTCTGTTTCCCCAGGGTGAAGAGCTACAGGAGGAACTTGGCAGAAAAAGGAGCACGCAGGGATGGCACCCGTCCTGCGATGAGCACCGGCTCCCTGGTGAGTGATGTGGCCCTGTTTCCACCTGGGGTCCCGGCTGAGTCTCAGATGTCAAACTGAGCTCGCATTTCCCCCAGAAACGCTTCCTCCCCCAGATTTCCTGCTGCAGCCGCAGGCTGGGCACCTGGTGGTTTGCAACCCTCCTGCCCTGCTGCGTCTCCCAGAGCCCATGATTCACCCCGGTGTGACTTCCGGATCATCTGTCACACGCAGTTGGACTCTGCTGTGCTCTCTGCCACACAGAAGCTGTCTTCCAGCTTCCTAGAACAGTCACAGGCCTGTGCCCGGCACCCGCTGTGAGGCCCAGGTCTCAGCCAGGCCTCTGGTGCTCACCCACAGCCTCCTGCCTCTGCGCATCGAACCACGGTGTGCAATGTGTGAGGTGTTTGCTCTTCTCCCCTGCCCTTTTTTAAACTCTTTAGTTTTGGACAGTTCGATGCTTCTCCTTGCCCTGACGGCCTAAAGTTGGGGCTGTGTGCTGATGTTTCACTTCACCTTGCTCAATCTGTTTTCGTATCTGAGAGTAAGACAGCAGTCATCAGAAAATTGTAAGGATTCAGTAAGATAAGTAGCCGGTGAGGGCCACTGTGATTCAGATTTGTTAAGGGCAGTGGTAGCGAGCTTGCCTAGCATGTGCAAAGCCCTGGGTTCAGTTTTAGGACTGCAAACAAAAAAGACGTTTAAAATGTTAACAGTAGCTCAGAGCAGTGGTACATACCTAAAATCTCAGCACTCTGGGAGGCTGAGGCAGGAGGAGGGAAAACGTGAGCCCAGCCTGGGCATCTCAGAGAGAACCTGTCTCAGAACAAAAATAAAATGTCTGAGGATACAGCTCAGCGCGAAGACACTGGGTTTAGTCCTCAATACTGCCACCAAACAAACAAAGTAATGTTAAAGGTACAAAGGCGAATAAAAGGTGAAAGAATGAGTACTTGGGTAAGGGATGTGAGTCTTCCCCAAGCCCCAGCTCCCCGGGGACCCTTGCACTGACTCCCTTCTCCTCCACGTCAGGGTCATCACGGTCCCCTGAACGCGTCGGAGGCAGCCAGTGCCCCAGCCCAACCGGCCTCTGACACAGGGGAGGAGCAGGAGCTCCACTACGCCTCCCTCAGCTTACAAGGGCTGAAGCCCCGTGAGGCCCCGGACCAGGACTCCAGCGCCACGGAGTACGCGGCGATCAGGATCCGGAAGTGACGCCCTCGTCCCGCCCCGCCTCTGGCCCGAGCCCTGCGGAGGCCTGGACGGCGAAGGCGTGTGTCAGAGCAGGGGCTACAAGTGAGCAGCCCTCTGGATCAGGGCTGAGGTGGGGAGGGAGAGCTCCTTGCAGTGGCTGAAGGTCACTTGGTAATGACCTTCAAGTCCTTTGGAAGGTCACAGCCAGACTCTGCTACCTCAGGCAAGTCTCTACCTCCCCGTGCCTCCACTTCGCCCCCTGTAAAATACAGGTAATATTATTAGTATACGAAGTAAAAAAATCACACAATTTATATTGTTATGTGTACAACTCCTAAACGTGTTTACTTCAGCAGGGGTGAGGAAGATGTTATCTATATATTAAATTTATTGGTACAAGGGCCAGGTGTGGTAGTGCACGCTTGTAATCCTAGCACTTGGGAAGCTGAGGCAGGAGGATCGCTGTGAGTTCGAGACCAGCCTGGGCTATGCAGTGAGTTCCAGGGTAGTCTCAACTACATAGTGAGACCCTGTCTCAGAAAAACTAAATTTATTGATACAATTAGGTACGCAACACAGTCACATTCATCGTTGGGATTTTGTACCTATACATGACTTATCAGGTTCTTATTTTTCCCCATTCCCCAGCCTTCCCTTCACCCCCTCCACCCTGCCTTGTTTACAAAGACATTGTTTCCATGTTTTCTCTTTTCACATTTTTTTCTTTTCCCTTCTACCTTTCAACTCTATGATATACTATTTTTTACTTGACCATCTTAAAGAACATATATTATTTTTTAAAAAAATAAGTCTATTTTCATGAGTAGCCTGCTGGTGTAGACGCTTGTCCCAATACACTTATCTAACAAAGGACTTATCCCCATAGTACATAAATAATATCCAAGTATCTCCCACAAATCACTGAGAAAAACTTGGCAGTCCAGAAACTTGGAATATTCAAATGGCCCACGAATGCATAAAAGGACATTCAACTTTAGTAGCTGTCAAGGAAATCGAAATAAAAATCATAATGCGGGGCCGGGGATCTAGCTGAGTGGTTCTGCTGCCTGCCTTGCAAGTGCAAGGACCTGAGTTTGATCCCTGGTACCAAAAAAAAAAAAAAAAAAAA